TATTCTATTTAGGTGGGACGTCCCAGTTGGTTTAATATTGAGACACCAAGGAGTAAGATACCAACTGGATACTGTCGAAAAAGCGGAAGAATTTTATCAAAAATTTTTAAAAATAAATTTAACATCTTTAGGCATAACACAGGACAAGCAAAAGGAGTTGGAAATAAAGGGAAAACATCAAATTACAGAGGCTGTGGTAGATAAACTGTCTTTGGACTCCTTGGATACCCCAGCTGGACTGTCTATAAATTTGAGAGCAGTGTCATCTGATTCTAATGTGATTAACTATCAATTTACAAACAAGTGCGTAAATCAACCAGTTGATATACAAGTGAAGGAAAAGACATATGGGATAATAAAACAAAACCAACAAGATCAATTTACAAAGCAGAATGACAACCGATCAGCTGATACACAACTTGTAGGAAGGAAATCTGGATGGAAATGCAACCTGCAAAAGAAAAAGAAAAGAAACAGATTTCGTAGAAATAGTAGTTTCTAAATCAAGCAACAGTGAAGCCAGGGATTTTAAAAAATAAATGAACATGTGAAAAGATATTGGAGGCGAATTATCGTTTAATACTATCTTGAGGAAAGTGGCAGATCTCTGCAATGCCGTGATTTTGGGATGTGGAAAGAGCCTTACATTGTTGGATTTGAATTATCTATTTTGGATTTCTTTTACCGATAAATATATTATATCTATTTTGAGTTACAAGGCAAGAGAGTCATGCTGGGGCATGCAGAAGATCTGGCTGTTACCCACAAAGATGATGGGGATTTATAATCCTGATGAAAACCACAATTACAACTATATGGAATATAATTATAATGTCACTCGGGTGGTTGTTTTTATTTTTATATATACATGAGGATATTTATTATTGATGGGGGCAGAAGATGACTGAAGATTTTGAATAAACTGTTGCACCAGGATGCTATGTTACCCTATTATGGATGATGGATTTAACAATCTAGTGGAAAGACATCAAAGAAGATACTAAATGAATTATAAATTTAAAGTTATTGTCTTTTTTTATAAAATGGAATGTATATATAGACATATGTATATTTTAGTAGAGTGGGCAGTGGATTATATTTAGAATTGTAGTGTATGGTAATCTTGCAGGAAACTGGGTTGAAATAGGCTAGTTTAGTGATTGATTAGTTTAAGAAAAAGGATTTTTAAGACATATATTTTGGGGAGTGGAAGAATCGGATAGAACTGAACAAATGTTAAATTTGGAGAAGGCTGCTTTGAAATGTTAAATTAATATATATAATATATATAAAAGTAAAGGTTATGTTGTTGTAATAATAATAATATTTTATAAATTTGGGGGAGGAGAAAAAGGGTAGATTGTGAAAAGCGGAGAAAAGCGGAGTTATAAGAATACTTTGCTAAGGGTCAGTACTTTGAGGAGTGAGTAAGGGCATGGTAAAATATTATGTAATTAATTATGAATTAGCTTATTGTTGTGAAGAAGAAGTCACAGGGGGGGATGGGTGGTGAGGGGGGGTTAGGGAAGAAGGGAGGAAAAGGGGGAAAAACTTGTATTTGAAAAACTTTTTCAACAAACTTGAAATAGTATTGAGTAAGGGGGACTTATATGTCCTCAGAGTTTCAGCTTTTTGCAGCATCCTCACAGTCACATGATCACGATATGGGTATTCAGTACCCAGATCATGATTCCAATATTGCACTGAGCTGCAGTCACATGATCATACTTTCCAACATTCCCTGTTGGTTTTCCATAAGCAAAATCAATGAAGAAATTGGCAGGAAATCAGAAATTGTGGTCACATGCAATCCTTGCTTAACTTCCTACATGGTCCTCACTTATCAACAATAATGTGAACTGCTAGGGCTCTCATTGATAAGCAATGATATCCCATGATGTCACATTTTATCACCATGTCACTTAGCAGCAGAAGTTCTGGTCCAATTGCTGTTGTAACCCAAGGACTACTTGTAGACTTTTTTTACATATTAATAACATGAACATATGTTAAAAGAGCATTTAAAACTGCTGGCTTTGAGCTTCAGATTATGCAATTTACTAAGCTTTGTCCTGATGATTGTGCAGCATTTCAGATCCAAAAGCAAAAGATTGCTTCAGAACACATAGCATCAATCACACTTCCTCAGTCCAACCCACCTCACAGAGTTGTTGTAATGGGAAAAGTAGGAGGAGGGAGGAGTATTACATAATATGTTTGCCAACTTGAGTTATTTATTTAAAAAATAACAAAGGTGGGATAAAAATAAATAAATCAGCATACAACTTGTTAAATCACATGAAACTTTTCCCTGGGATTCTGCCATAGTTAAATGGGGCAATTGCACTATTCTGGGAAAAGACAAAGTTGTTCAGGCATCGTAGACAGGTGTTATACAAGCACACCAATGCATTCCAAAACTTTTTTTCTTCAAATCCGAAACATTGCATAGCTTTAGTCACATAGAGCCCAAAGAGCCAAATCATCTGGGAAGTGAGGCTAATTGATCTGGGTTTTAGTCCTATAGATACCAACACACATTGATACTTTCCAGTTCAATTCATGCTCAAGACACTGGTTTTGGAAATGCTACTGCACAGTGTCAAAAACAGTTTAAAAGCAAACAACTTGATTAGTATAACTTGTCCAAAACAAGAGGCAGTTGGAATTTCCTCTCCAACTCCTGGATAACAACAAACCTGTTATTAGTTATATTACAGGTAACCCTAACTTAACTACCATAAGTAGACTGGAGTAGACTCCATCGTTAAGCAACATGGTCATTAAGTGAAACATCTGACTGCTCAGCTTCGCTATGGCAGTTAAAGCAATCTCAGTTGCTTTTGTTCAATGAATCGCATGCGGTCATTAGAAGAGGACCCACCCATATCCAAGCACTTCTTGGAAGAAGGTAAGGGACTGTCTCCACTTAATTTCCCCATCCCCATTCCCCTATCTTCTACCCATCTTTGCCCTGTGGGTCATTCACCTATCTGCTGCTACCAGCTGCCCTTGCCATTTGGCTTGCTTGCTGCTGCGCTGCACAGCATTACTAGCTAGGGTCTTCTTTTGCACTAGTGCATCCATGTCCTTCTTTCACACCAGTAAGGAGGATGCCCAAATAAAGCCCTGGCCATCACACAAAAGAAAGCCCTGGCTGGTGTGAGAAAGAAAGACCTGGCCAGCATGCGAAAGAACAGTGCAAAAGAAAGACTTAGTTCGTAGTGGTGCATAGTGCCACAGCACAACACACATCCACCTGTTCTGTTGCTCTCATCCACTGACCTGTGGGGTGTTTTCATGGCACCTCCCCTGCATGTGATGAGCCCAGCAGACGGAGGCAGAAAAAGATGATGACAAAAGTCAGCTGGGGATGGGAGTAGGGCAGCAGGAGACTGGTCATAAATGCAGGCAGGCTGAATTTTGTTTATTTATTTATTTATTATTTATTAATTTAATTTGTATACTGCCCTTCTCCCAGAAGGGACTCAGGGCGGTGAACAGCCAAAATTAAAAAACATACAAATACAAAAGTTAAGATAATTAAAAAGAATTAAATCACTAGCTTCCCAATTTGTTCATGTGACCACAGCGGCACTGATCACCAGAACTTCAAAGACTGGTCGTAAGTCCTTTTGTTCCACACTATTGTAACTTAGAATAGTTGCTGAACAAATGGTTGTTAAGCAAGACTACTTATATACCCCTGGGACAGAAGGGTACAAGAATTTAAAGTTTGATTTCACTATAAATAGAGCTGGCATTTGATCTATAGCAGGTGGTCAAATTCTCTTTAAAAAATCCTATCACAGCATTGTGTCCTTGACTCCCTGCTTCCATGCGTTTGTACAGTTTTGTCAAGAGAAGCATGATAAAACCATGCAGTCACAGGAGTAATACCAATACAATGAGTGGATTAATTCTTAGTTTCACCATATACTGTAATATAACTGAGACATCAATGTTTAGGGTTAATGCTGTGGATAGGAAAACAGGTAAGGACATGTAGTGTCAGGTGTGCCTAGCCCTGTAATCTCAGAGACAAGGCCAAACATTGCTTTCACTGCCCTTTCCTAGTATGGATCTCTTTCATTGTAAAGTTCATCGCTTTACTGACCTGCAGAATGTGCAAGACTATTAAAGGCAAAACCTGTATTTTGAATCTACCTGGACTATTTGCATTTCTAATCTTTAACTAGAAGTAAGAAAAGTTGGTTGGCTTACAGAGTAGCTGGTGTGTTTTCAGGTCATACTCTTCTGCCATCTCCTTTCCATCCTCAAACAAGTAATGGATTTTTCGTTTACCTAGAGAGACCACAGGATAGGTGGACCTAAAAAGGAGAAACAGGAGGAAATCCCACCCCCCAGACTCAATATATGTCTCCCCATTTGGCCACAGTGACTTTTAGAGACTCACAGCTCTCCATCCATACTCCTCCTCTACTAAACCCAAGTTTTGATGGAAATAAGCACCCCTGTTAACGGGTTGATTCCCGCATGTTCCCCACAGTGGTGAATACAGTTCAGTTAGAAATAAAACAGACTCGGGAATTTTTTCCATTACTTCTTTAACAAAAGCAAACTTTAAAGAGATTTTTAAGTTGGATCTTCAGTCTATCTATCCCTATTAGGTCTCCCCGGGGTTGGCGCACCCAAAAGCGAAGGCAATACGGGACTACAGCCTCCTCGCTCCTTGGAGACCGGAACTGCACGGCTTCTCCCACCTTAGAAAGCTCCCCAACTTCACCCGCTGCCCATTTGCCCGTGACCGGCGGGTCATTTCCCCAGATCGCCACTATCCCAGTTACCCCCGCCATCCCGTTACCATCGGCGAGCAGGGCGGTCTTACGAGCCGCACGCAACCGCTCCAGCCAGCCAGTCGCAGCCATATTGCGGCTCGGCTAGGCACGTTACCAAGGCAACGCCTCCTGGACTTCCGGCCCTTCGGCCCTGACACGGAAGGAAATGCCGCGCGCGGGTCACTCTTGCGTCACAGCAATACCGTTGGTAAGGGATCGTTCCCCTCCTCGGTATCGTTTTCCTCGGCCTCTCTTTGGACGTTGCGTAAGGGCTCCCCCCCCCCTTCTCCAGCCAGAGGGGCAACGAAGGTGGATGGGTGGGTTTAAAGCAGGGCGGCGCGGCGTCCCTCAGTCGCCTTGGAAGAGCGGCAGTGGGCTAGAGAAGCGCCACGGTGTTTTGGCCATGGCTGTCAGGAGCCTTTGGCTCGATCTCACCCGGCCTCCCAAATTCAGACGCTCTTGAGCGGGTGGTCTCTGGACTGCGGTGAGCCGGGCTCGATTAGAGCAGCGCTCCGAAGTGATGCAAAAAAGTCGCCTCTCTTAGTCTCTCCACTCTTTCTAGGGCGGAGTCCCACAATCTTCGTTGATTTCAAGAGCTGTAGTCCTTACCTGGCATCTCTTGTAAACCAAAGTTTATGGGAAGGGCATCTGAGTAACGCTAAATTGGGCAAGACTCTCCTGGGTGTACACATAAGAGATTTACTTGTAGACACTTCTATTTTAAATCAACTTAAGATGCAGTGCTGATACCTTTTGTTTCAGCTCCTGATCAAATTGTCCATTACTTTTAATAAAAGTCTGTGCCATTTGGTTTAAAACGTAACTATCATAATTCTTAAAAGTAACAATATCGATATTATTATTATTTTTAGCTGCTATACTTTTCGTCGGCAGTTTTGTCAGAGGGTTTGATCACAGTTTCCTGGCTAGAGATTGCAGAAGGCAAAAGTCCCAACAAATTCAGATTCTCCAGTAAAGTATTTTCCAACTCTTTTAACAGTGGTCTCTTAATAGCATCTTTTTAATGAAAGAAATTGAACATTGAATCTGGGATAGGAGAACCGTAGCTTATAGTGTTTGAGCACATGCTTTGTGTTCAGCAAATCTTAGGTTCCCTCTCTGTAGTCTTTACTTCTACCAGGGAAACTTAGCCCAACAGTGTTGATACTACTGGACTAGTGATCTGTCTCGTAGGTTCTGAATTCATAAAACATTTCCCAGCTTAATGCCTATATTTATGGATCATAAGTACCATACTGTCCTTGCTCCTCCTAATTTTAGGACTCTGTTTATCTAAAGTAAGACCAGCCAGATATTTCAAGGAAAGTTACAATTTTTTTTAAAAATTTGATTTATATGCCGCCCTTCTCCGGAGACTCAGGGCGGCTTACAATGCGTTAAGCAATAAGAACTGTTTCATATATGATACCGTTACGAAACAGGAAAACAATATACAGTTTATTATTTGTAATGTGGATATGATATACATTATAATATATTTTACAATTTTACTCTCAAGTAAAAAAAAAATTCTATATGCTATACAAGGAGATCTTGTAAAATCCCATGGTTTTCTGTAGCACCCATATGACATTCAACACTGATTTTCCATCCCAGACCTATTCTCTCTGTTTCCAATTGTCTCCCTAAGCCAAATGTATCTGCTTATCTTCTCTAACCTTCAGCAAAATAACATTCCCAGTAGTGCTAAAAAATATAAACTGACAGCGGCAAAGAGATATAAGGAAATAGTTATATATAGTTACCAAGTACATAAATTATGAAATGCTAATTTTACCGATCTTCAAATGTATTAGATTAGGCACGATGAAAAGAATAATTTCTGTGACTGACTGAGTGGGATATGTACTAGAACTATTAATCTGTTCTAAAATGATGGAACATTGACAAAAGGATACCTATTAAGAATTACCTGTCATTAGAATATATTGTTATTTTACTTTTCCTTCCTACATTTTCAGCAAATCTCCTGTTAGGGAAGGAGACATCTATAGTTCATGGAACCTCAAGGAATTGTCAAAGCTTTCCGCAAACGAAAGAAGTTGAGAGATGAGGTACACACTGCACCTTTAAAGATTTGGAAAGAAGAAACCAACAATCAGCAAGGTGTATTTTTTTCTTTCTGACTTTAGTCATGTGAAGTTCTCATGGTGTGGCTTGCATTACTGTTAATTCTTTCAGAGAAATGACTTAATCCTTAAAAAGTTCAATCGCTAAGATGCAGTAATATAACAACATGACTATATGTGTTATAAAACACTAACTTTCGTTATATTTCATTAAGTGATCAGATTTTCTTCACTCTGAAAAGATTTGTAACCTAACCCTATCTTGCTGATCATCTTTATCTGTGGTATTTTTACCAGGGTGGTTGGAGCCAATCACAGTTTATGTGTTGCAAGCAGGAATTGGCCAGGCCAGAGCTGAGATCTTCTGTAAGCAGATCATCCACAATGGAGGACACATCTGCAGCCAGTTCTCCCCAGATGTGACACATATAATAGTAGATGAAGACATGGATTTTGATCGGGCTTTTCGGCTCCTCAAACTCAAAAAATTACCTCAGGGATTGCAACTAGTTAAGGCATCATGGCTGAGTTCTTGTATTACAGCACAGCAGATCTTGGACACTACTGACTATAGACTCATTGTCCCAGACAAGTAGGTCTCTTTCTTAAATACTTTATCCAGTTTGAATGGGGAAGGTTTATGCAAAACTGATAATCCATCTTCAAAATGTAATAGAAAAAAGAATTTCATTCGATATTTTTAGTGTAACCATTGGCCAAATATCCTATATTTTGATAAGGTGACTGAGAAAGTGGTGGCTTTGATGATTTGGATGCTGATTTTCTGAAGTGATTTTACTGGATATGTTATCTGGGAAATGACACTGAACCTATTTTGGTTACTGTAGTAGATGAGCTAAGAAAGTAGTCTCCGACTTACAGCAGTTCGTTTAGTGACCATTTGAGCTTACAATGGAACTTACAATTTTTTTTTCACATTTACAACCATTGCAGCATCCCCATGGTCACATGATCAAAATTCAGATGCCTGGCAAGTGACTCATATTTATGATAGTTGCAATATACAGGGAAAAGGAAAGTCAATGGGGAAGCCAGATTCACTTAACAACTGCAATGATTCATTTAATAACTGTGGCAAGAAAGGTCATAAAATGGGGAAAAACTCACTTAACAAATGTCTCACTTAGCAACAAAAAATTTGGGCTCAATTGTGGTCATAAGTCAAGAACTACCTACGTATGGGTGGAATGTAATTGCTATTTCTCTTGGACCTCTTGGTAGCTTCTATAACATTGATCATGGCATCCTTCAGGTCAATGGGTTATATGGTAATGTTGAGCCTTGGGTGCACTGTTTTGCAGTGATTCCAATTCTTCCTCTTAGAATTATCCCAGAAGATGATGTAGGAACATTGCTTCTCAAATGTAGATCATTCGCATATAGTGTTCCATGGGATTCTGTCTTCTCCTCTGTTGTTTAACATCTACACGAAAGCAGTCAGGGAGTTTAAAAAAATTAAGCTGAAGTGGATATTTCAACAAGACAGCTGTCCAAAACATGCTCTGAATCAAATATGTCTTTCTTATTAAGTACATATTTGATTTGTCTGTTGATTTGTTTGAAATGGGCTCCATATTCCACAAAGGTGAATATTATTGAATATGTGTGAGGAATCTCAAACATATACCATGTGCAAGGAGATGAAGAATATTTCTGAACTAGAAGACACTAGAATTAAAAGCAAAAATGGGAGAAAAATTCTTCAGTCTATCCTTATTAGGGCAGCTGTAATTTTTGCCAAAGGAGATGATATAAAAATATTGAAAGAAAGGACACCTATTTTTTTTCCCTTTGGCCATATTCACTGTTTCTTCATTTTGAATCTATAAGTAACTTCACATAAATAATAAGTAAACATTCACATTTTCAGAAAAATATGTTTGACTTCTGTTACTTTATGAATTCATTGGCATTTTTTAATTTGACAGCAATGCCTAATTTTTTTCACTGAATTGTACCAATGTATGGTTGCAATGATGAACAGTGTGACATAGTTGAAAGAGAGGCCAATGGTATGTATAGGAGGCCAAAAAATACAGCAGAAACCTTAGAATTGGTTCTGTATAATTACAAATACCTAGTGGTGTGACTAATAGAATGTAAGTACATATGATCATCTTTTCATTCCAGTATGTGCCTGTTTAATATAAACAGTAAACATTTGGAAATCAGAATAGATTCTTCACTAAAGCAAGTTTTGAAAAAAAAAATCACGTCTTTTGGAAGAATATATGTCAAATGAATTTCCTAGCCCTTTTTCATATTGTTCTTCATCTGCCTTTAGTTGATAAGAGAAATGCCTCAAATGCAATTATTTGTTGTTTATTAATTCTTGGCAGATATCTGGATGAGACAGGCTTTTCAGTGGAACACCTACCGTTACTGAATGAGGATAAGATTCACCCCAAAGCAGAGAACACAGTTACGGAACTGAAAGAAGAATCAAACACTGAGATCACGTCTTTCTGTGATACTGTACAGGTAGTCTTTGATTTACGACCAGTTGTATAATAATAGTTTGACGTTACGACGGCTTTGGAAAGGGTGCTTTAAAGCAGTGGTCCCCAACCCCCGGTCCGTGGACCGGTGCCGGGCCGTGGAGTACCTGGCACCGGGCCGCGCAGCGGCCGGGGGACATGAACGCTGCAGCGCAAAGGCTCCTGGGCCGTGCGCAAAAGCTCCTGGGCCGTGCGTAATGGGCCGTGCGCAAAAGCTCCTGGGCCGTGCCCCCACCCCTGCGCGCGCTCAGCGGGCCGCGGCGATAAAAAGGTTGGGGACCACTGCTTTAAAGCACTTCTGACTCTTGTAAAATGTTGTATGCCTCCCTTGCAGTCCCACAATCCTAATCTGGGTGCTGGGCAACCTATTTATATTTATGATCGGTTACCAAGTGCGCAGCAATTTTGTGATTACCATTTGCAATCTTCTACCGGTATCAGCCCTTCAGACATGGGGCAGTAGGAAAAAATCACAGAGCTAAAATCCTTTTCTTCCTGCCCCTCTGTGCCTGCAGAGCGCCCTAGTGCTAAAATGCTTCTCTCCCTGCCTCTCCACTTGTTTCCTGGGAATCTGTTCATTTAACTATGTATTGTGCAATTGCTTAATGACTGCACCGTGAGTGCCAAGATTGCGGTCATTAAGTGAATTTGTTGTGTAGAGCATTTCACATAACAACCACTTCATTCGGTGGCTGAAATTCTGGCCCCAATTTTGGTCATTAAATGAAGGCTTTCTGTAAATTTCTAGGATCAACAGGAAGCTGCACAAGTGAGCCTGATTATACATTTTTAGGCTAAGCCAGGGATTTTCTGTTAAAGTTAGCCAGTGCCAAACTCTTATCTAAGGTTATCTTACTATTAGTGATCATGAAAACAAATCTCTTAATTTATACTTTTTTTAAAATCCAAAAGGTTTTTTTTATTTATATATTTTAAAATTTAAATACTTAAAAAAACAAACTTAGTAAAAATCAAAGTATCCTTAGTAAACCTAGGCTCATAAAACATCTCTTTTATTTACGTTTGTTTTTCAGAAAACTTACAGGGCAATAGAGTAAAACAATATGCAGTAAATTATTTCTGTTATCATGCAACCCTCTGTTCAAAGTATGTTGATGTACATTCTGCCTTTATTTTTTTATTTTTTTTACATTATTTATTTATTTATGAAATTTATTTGCCACCCATCTTGTATCCAATGACTTTGGGTAGCTTACAACATAATTTCATATATTATCTGGACTCCACTGAATAAAAAGTAAAAACTATTGTCCAATATTTTTCTATTCTGAGCTTCCTAGTAGGGGACCCAAGATATCTTATATGGAATGTTGGTGCCTTCTTATGGCTATAGAATGTAGAGGTGGCAAATACCAGTAACTGTATAACTTCGAACAAAATATTCATTATTACTTTTTATCATATTTTAAACGTAGAACACTTTAACTGTGACTATCAATTGTATTTTGGTCATCCCAGATATTTTGCCATCTGTACTTCCTAATTCTTGATCACCATTACTAGGAACATAAATTGTTGATATGAAACTGCTAGTTCAATTGATATTTGCTTTGACTCTGGGTTTCTGTGATTATTTCTCATGGGTCTTAATTCTGCTCTGTATTTTATTTTTATTTCTTTTAATATAATTTTTATTGAAGAAATTTTAACAAGATAAAAGCCATACAAATATTACAAAAGAAACAAAGAAAATGAAGAATTGTGCCCCATACTTTACAATGTCTATATATTGTTGCAGAATGAGCTCATATTCTGTGATTGGATAAATGATCACTCAATTTCATTGCTCCCTCTTCTGCTTGTTCTGTGTATCTCAAAGAGGACGTTAGATGATGAAGAAATTGAAGAGGACAAAGCTGTTGTCACTCTGGAAGAACTGAAAGCGCTAAAGTCAGGCCAAGACCTGAACATTTTGTCAGAAAGCTCGTCAGCGTGCCGTTCCCCTGGCAAGTGGGTTTGTGCTCAATCTTCTGAAAGCAAGAAAATTAATCATAATCAGTGCATTACAGAGAAGCTGGAAGTGCTGGCTAAAGCCTACTCTGTCCAAGGAGACAAGTGGAGGGGTCTAAGTTACATGAAAGCTATTAATGCACTCAAGAGTTATCATAAGCCTGTCACATCTTATCAGGTAAATGAGACAATGTACTAAGCATGTCTGTTTTTCTGTTGTATATTTACTTACTCCAAGGTATCTGTACTTTTCTGTCTTAATATTTTTTTCTGCAGGAAAAGTTCCAATTTGTGTTCTTTTTAATGTTATATAGACAGGTAATTTCAAACAGCTGTGGCCTGCATCCTACTTACATATCCCTATTATTTCATCCTGCTGTTTGGAAAGTATTTTACTAATTCTACAATGTTTGCAGAATCTTTTATCAAGATTATGCTGAACTTCTGATCTTTTGAAAAGAGTGCAGAGAAAAGCTGAAGCTGCCTTGAGATTCAGACAAAAGATCTGTAGGCCAAAAGTAAAAGAGACAAGGGGGTGTTTGTAACACATAGTTTTCTAAATGCTAATAGTGTTTTTTTTAGGATGGTGGACTGTATTAGAAAGTTGGGTGTGCACTTGGGATAATGAAACACAGCATACCTAAAATACTCAGAGTAAATCAGTGTTTGAGCTTTGCTTTGAACTAGTTGCTGTTTCATTATTCTCCTTTCAGGAAGCCTGTAAGATTACTGGAATTGGAAAACAGATGGCAGAAAAGATCGTAGAAATCCTGGAGAGTGGGCACCTTCGAAAACTAGACCACATCAGTGACAATGTCTCAGTGCTAGAACTATTTTCCAATATATGGGGAGCAGGAGTAAAGACTAGCCAGATGTGGTACCAGCAGGTAATTCTCTATCCTCTATATAGCAATAATTCTGTGGTCATTGCCTTCTATTTGTTCATGTTATATCTTTGCTGCAAGGCATATGAGTTTATATTAGTATTGCTACTTTTTTAGTTATGATTTATTCAGTGGGGGGCTTCCTCTGGAGATTTTATACTGTCTATATTGGATACATAACGCTAGTATCCTCTCTTCCTACCTTATAGTGTGTATAAAGATATAATGTGTTAACTTTATTTGTATCAATCTTTTTCCTTTATTACCAATAGCAACAGTTTACGTATTAACTGTCTTATCTTGCAAAAGGGTCAAATTCATACTGAACCACTATGGTGTTTTCCAGTAGCAACTCCATGAGTGTGTGTGTGTGTGTGTGTGTGTGTGTGTGTGTGTGTGTGTGTGTTTTGAATGAATGAATGCTCACATGTTTTGAGCTTCTGTTCATGAAAAAAATGTATGTGATTTGCAGGGAGAAATCAGGACAATATTACAAACAGCACATCGTGTGTTGTCATTCCTGTTACACCACATCAGTGGTGGGTTCTGGGTTCTATGATATCACTTATTAAGGATTACTGAAAACAAAATCTGTTACGTGTTCTGCGCAGGGTTTTCGCACTCTGGATGACATCCGCACTAGGGCCTCTCTCACCAGCCAGCAAGTTATCGGCCTTAAATATTACGAGGACTTCTTGGAACGCATGCCACGGCAAGAAGCTGCTGAAATTGAACAGACTGTGAGTACCTTGTTGAAACTATAGCAGGATGTTGACAGAAGATCATAGGCAATTTTTCACCAGATTTTAATCATAAGGCTATTCTGTCTTGGTTTTATTGATGACTCTTATTTTTTCCACTTGGCAGTTTGCCAAATAAAACATTTCCAAAGGGATATCATATTGGAGGTTTTATGTATTTAAACACTAACATATTTTCTATGTTGATTCTACCCATCTTCCAAACTTATGGCATACTTATTTTTGGATGTTTGGGCATCCCTCCCCCCTTTTACTATTTGAAATGCTAAAACTGGGAGTCACCTTGTCCTGCAAAGAGCCAAGATACAACAAAAGGTATATATGCCTTAGATCAAGGGGTGAATGAAGGGGCACTTCATTATGTAGAGTGTAGAGAGTAAGGAAGATGACTTTGATGAAAATATCAAGAACTATTACCAAGGCAAAATGAGGAGATTTTTTTTTAATCCAAAGAAACAAGATAACATTTGGAAGTGACTCAGGCAGGCACCTCATTGATTCATAGGAAAGTACAAAGGGAAAGGATGTACAGCCCAGACTTGCAAGGCTCTGTTATTATAGCTAAGCTTAGTAAAAGTAGTTTTAGTCTACCTGTGGAGTTGATTTCCCAGTCTCATCTTTATGTACCATCTAAGTCTTTATGACCTCATGTTCTTCACAACTGGAAAGCACTTTTTTTTTCCTACTCTCAAATAGCACAAGCTGAAGAAGACTGGCTTAGCTTACTTCCTTTTATATACTAGCCATCCAAGCCATGACTCTTAATGAAACCTCCTATTTGATGCAGTGTTCTCTCTCCATATTTGCTCAAAAACAAAAGAACATGGCTCTAATCACATCCAAACTTCTGCCTATCAGAAATCAATTTCCCTTTTTAGGCATATTTATTGCAAAAATTGAAGATTTCCTTTTTCCGAAGTTGGAGTTCCTTACAATTGATTGAGAAAGAAATTCAAACCTCCTTCCACATTGATATATTATTATTTCTATGCTCTGCAAGCCTTTGTACCTGACTTAAAATCAATCTAGTTTATCAACATCATTTCTGCTTTAATTTTCACTAATAAAGCCTTGATAAATTCCCAATATGTTATGCCAATCCTTCTCCAAATAATTCTCAGATAACTGGTAGGATGATTGACAAAAATATCTGTGATTTTCCCTTGTTGCTCTCTTGGTAAGGAAAGAGTGCTTTGCACCCCTCTAGCCAAATGTTTTTTCCCCTTTGTTTTTATATGTTTGGGCTGGACCATACCTCAGGTTTATATATTAATGCAGCTCTTTAAATTCAGAGATCTAAGCCACATAAAAAAAACCCTTTTCATTGTTCCTCCTGTACAGTGGAATTGCCATGGCAGCGCTGGGCAGCATGACGCTGTCACTCAGTCACAGTGCCTGCCCCTAAAGAATGCATAGTTGCCAGGTAGGGCATCACCCCTTACATAGGATTAAAGTTCTTTGGGGAGCCTCCGCCCTTGGGAATGGGCCTATTGTGGATTTGATGGGAATGGGCCTATTGTGGATTTGATGGAATTACTCTTCTCTTGCCTACCTCGAGGAAGAGACAAGAGAAAGAAGGGATTAGCTGCTGTCTGTCGAAGATCCAAGGTGCAGTATGGGGTTTGCTGCTTTCAAGAAAACTTAATTGGGGATGCAGAGGGGGCAGATCTGCATTAGAAAAGCCATGAAGGTGATTCCAAATGTTGCAGGGCAAAGGTTAATGGGTTTATTCCTAACTAATGAAGGATGATCCTGGAGACTGACAAGGGGCACTCATCCTCTAAACTGATTTCCCCCCCTCCCCCCTACTCCCTATGTTCTGAACCGGTAGCTATGTCTTTGTTTGTTAAAATGGATGATTGGCATCATAATACTGATAATCCTGCATACCGAAATAGCCTTCAAATGATGCTTTAATAAAGACAGTGTAGGAAAGGGGCTGACAGGGAACATATCATTGGGCATATGCTTAATGGATTGGGAGTTCCAGTTCTTGATATTTAACTGCAGTTCTGAAAGAACGGTCAGTTTCTTGTACTTAAGATCCCATACATGATACTGAAGTAAGAGGTGCAGGCCTATAGCAGGAGAATCATCCATTCTCAGGAAAGGATAAATTGAATCCTTTTCATTGTGGAGCCTTCTGTGGTTCTATATTCGAAAAAGAACATATTAAATCTAATGGGATTTCCCTTTATTTCCATGATACTACTTTACCGTTCATTAGAAAATATTTGGGTTATGGTGACACTTACTTTTCAGTTTGTTTTATTTATCATGCATTCAAGCAAATGAGATGCTAGGTCATTGAATTACTGGTAGTCCTTGACTTACAGACAGACTTACTACTGGTCTGTGCACTTATCATCACATGTCCCCACGGTCATGTGATTAAAATTTGGGCACTTGGTGACTGGCATGTATTTTCATTGGTTGCTGTATCCTGGGGTCACATGATTGCCATTTGTGATCTTCCCAGATAGTTTCCAACAAGCAAAGTTGGAAGAATTGGGAGAATCCAGGTTCCTTTAACACTTGCTTAATGATTGCAGCAAAATTGGCAGTGACTCCATTATTTCATTTATTGAAGCTCCTGTCCCAATTGTGATTGTAAGTTTGAGGATTGAGGCATCCTTGGTAGTCTCTGAGCTTGGTTATTTTCTAGTGATAGCTTGCGATGCTAGGTAGCATTACTATCACTGATGATGTTACCTGGTTTTGGTAATGAAATGTCTGGAAGAAAACAACCAAGCTCAGAGAGCACCAAGGACGCCTCATTTCAACCCTGAGCTACAAATGCTCTCCTTTATAAGTCGAGAATTGCCGGTATTACATTAAGTGATACTTGAAAGCAGTTAATTTCTCTGATGTGTCTCTTTAAGGTTAGAGAAGCAGCTCAGTCTATTATACCTGAACTAATGTGTATAGCATGTGGCTCTTTCCGGCGCGGAAAACCCACTTGTGGAGATGTGGATGTATTGGTGACTCATCCTGATGGACACTCCCACCAAGGAGTATTTAACAAACTGCTCAACATTCTTCATAAAAATGGTATGAGAATATCAGCTGGTTCTGTGGTGGGAGTGGGAGTTCAGAATCATATTCCTGAATGTATCCGCCTTGAGAACTATTTAAAGAAAACATAAGTAGGAATACAGAAGAGGCCTAGTTTTGTTGAGTTGATTTTGGCACTTTTTCCTAAAGCTGAATACTATAGACCAGTAATTGCTGTTATACTGGGAAAAGCTTTTCTTTTTCTTTCTTGGACTTTTGGGGATTATGACTGGGCTATGTATTATTCTCTAAGGTATTTTTTTTAACTTGTCCTACATGTTTGGGGAGCCTGTTCCTTTTCTTTTGCTTTTAGTTAATAGCAAATGATCATGAAAAGGCAGACCAGGTCACTGTGAACAGTGATGTCCTGGTGATGTCCTGTCCTTCAGGAATGTTTCTTCCAATTACATTGATCTGGCAGAACCTGAGACTGATATAAGTAAGAGGGTAGCTCCTAGTGTCAACTTACTTCTCAGTCCTTTGCATTAATATTGTATTAATGTCTCACGTATTGTGCTTTCCACTCAGGCTTTCTCACGGATGACTTGGTGAATCAGGAAGACAATGAAAGCCAGCAGAAGTACCTTGGAGTCTGCCGTTTGCCAGGCCAAGACAGGCGCCACAGGCGCCTCGACATCATTGTGGTGCCCTACAGAGAGTTTGCCTGTGCTTTGTTGTACTTCACTGGCTCAGCCCACTTCAATCGCTCCATGCGAGCCCTGGCCAAGACTAAAGACATGAGTCTGTCAGAGCATGCCCTCTGCAGCGGTATAGTGCGAGGATCAGATGGCCTCAAAACTGGATCTGGGATTGTCCTGTCCACACCTACTGAGAAGGATGTGTTTGCTCATCTGGGGTTGCCTTACCGAGAGCCATATGAGAGGGACTGGTAAAGACAAGAAAAGAAGTAGCCCCAGTTAGCTTCAAGGGAGATACGGGGACTTACATGAGGTTTTCAAACATATACTGTATATCCTTTGCTTGTTTTCCTTGAGGCATATTTGCAAAGCAACGGACTTGGTGAGCAGTTTATTGTTTTCTCCAATTGGCTGTGAAAATCCCAAGATTTTTAAAGTCTTTTATTAGTTTTGAAAGATTTCAGTAAGAGGAAAAAAACTATGGACAAATCAACTCATTCAGTGTTCTGCCCCAGCTCCGGATTCCCGAGGATATTGACACACACCAACGGTCCTTATCAAATTTATTAAGTAGCAAGAATAAACCAAAGTCCGGCAAAGGTTGGCAACCAGCCCAGAAAAGAAGATACGATAAGACTTTTCCAAAACTGCTCTGATGATAATTACAAGTTGTTTCTAGCAAGAAATTACTAACTGTGTGCGACTTAAATAGGCTAAGGGAGTGGCCAATTATCCTCAAGTCTTACTCTTGAGGAGACCTCCTCCTCCTGAGTAGCCACTCCTGCTTTTGGCAGCCCTGTGTGCTCGAGCATTGAGGAGAGGCTCCTCCACTTCGCTCTCTCCACTTGAAGGAGCCTCTGGAGGTTCTGAAGGCCCTGGCTGAGTCTCTGCCTCTGGCACCACATCCTCTTCAGCCTCCTCGCTGTCCGACGCGAGGCTGCTGAACCCTGCACCAGCCTTCTCGTCGTCAGGATCAGCCACGATCTGCGCAGGCCGCTGGCATGCCACAACATTCAGTTATCAATTTCAAGAATGAGAGACTATGATTGTAAATCATTTTTGCACATTAAAAAACCAATTAATGTATACTTAGGACAAATAGGAAATGTACTAACTGAAAATTAGTACTAACTAATTTTCAATACATGAATTGCAGGGTTATCCTTACAGTATTTTGGATATCTATGGGAAAGACCATTTCAGAAGACTATATGTCTATTGCAGCGTTGCCTGGAGGACTTTGGGCTAATTACACACTCAACCTAATCTACCTCATAGGGCTGTTGTAAGAAAAATAGGCAGGAGCTTAATGTACATCATCTAAAATTGTACAAAATAAAGATGGGATGTAAAGCTAAACATTTTTAAAATGCTGGGGCTGAAGGACAGAGCTTCCTCTTTTTGTCACCAAGTTGCTTTCTTGCAGGCTGCTAGAAATCTGATAATTTTCAGATGCTTGAAACTAGGCAGAGGGTTGCATGAAATTGGGCCAGGAATCATATATGGTTCTGGAGCTGCATTTGATCTATGGAAAGAAAAGGCGATTTATTATTTGCACTACATAATTCATTTCTTATTAATTAACTTATGTTCTGTTTTAAGGAATATATTCAAATAGTAATAATATCATTGAAACAGATTTCTAATTCCTAAAAGAACAATTAAAGAGTATGCAATTTCGACCAAATCTGGAAAATATAGGGAAAATATACACGAAACAAACAGCGAAAGTAATTTTGAATGATGATATGACAGACCAATTTGACATAACAAAAGGGGTCAGACAAGGCTGCCCACTCTCCCCTCTACTGTATATCCTATCTTTAGAGATTTTGTTAAAAAAAATTAGGGAGGATCAAGAAATCAAAGGATTAAAAGTGAGAAGAGAAGAATACAAGACCCAGGCTTTTGCTGACGATCTTATTTATAGCAGAAGAACCACTAGAAGTAGTACCAACACTCCTTAAGAAAATAGAAGATTATGGAGAGGTGGCTGGTTTAAAGATAAATAGAAATAAATCAAAATTACTAGTTAAAAATCTGACGAAAACACAGGAGATAGATCTGAAGAATAGTACACAAATTCAAGTGACTAATAAAATTAAATATTTAGGCATATGGCTGTCACCAAGAACCTCTATAAAAGAAAATAATTATGATAAACTAATAGAGATAAAAAAAGAACTGGACAATTGGAAAAACCTACAAATCTCATTTATGGGAAGAATCTCTACTATCAAAATGAATACACTACCAAAATTATTGTATTTGCTCCAGGTTGCACCAATTAAATTAGAAAAAAAATTATTTGTGAGCCTAAACAAGATTATTTCTAAATTTATATGGCAGGGGAAACGTCCACGAATAAAATTAAAATTACTCCAGGACTCCAAGGAAAGAGGAGGAACAGCACTCCCGGATTGGGAACTCTTATTACCAAGCGGCAGGACTAGTATAGGTTAAAGATTGGATGGAGTTGATTAACAGCAGACTATTAACTTTTGAAGGACAAGATTTACAAACAGGCTGTTATTCCTTTATATGGGATGAAAAGTATAAGTCACACACTTATTTTAAAAGGGATACACTTAGAAATGCTCTATTATTAACTTGGTTAAAAATTAAAAAACAACATTATACAAAAATCCCGATTTGGCTTTCACCCTCAGAAGCACTAAAACATCCAAACCTAACAGAAACCAAAAATGTAATTAGATATAAAGACTTAATTGATCATCAAGGAAAATTGAAACCCAAACAATTGGATACAGAATTTAATAGGGAAATCGATTAGTGGACCTTCTCACAGATACAAGCAAAACATAAGGAATATATAAAAACATATGAAATATGTAAAGAAAAACAATAACTAGATAAAATTATATTAGATTCGGGAGAGAAATTAATTAGTAAAATTTACAAATTTTTGTTGATACAAGATGGAGGAGGAAATAGTTAAAAATACAATGATCAAATGGATGCAAAATTTTAAATACTCAATAGAATTGGAAAGATGGGAAGAATTCTGGCAAATGAATACAAAAACAACATTGGCAGTGGCATACAAGGAGAACCAGCTAAAGATGTTTTACAGGTGGCATATGTCACCTACAAGATTGGCCAAAATAAACCCGAAAAATAGTTCAGCGTGTTGGAAGTGTAAGAATCCACAAGGCACTTTTTACCATCTATGGTGGACATGCCTGGCGGCTAAGAAATTTTGGTCCAATATTAAGAAATGGCTAGAACAAATCACCAAACTACAAATAGATAAGAAACCCAAAACTTTTCTATTAGGAATCTTTACAAAATCCTATCCCAAAGAAATAAAATACTTGTTAATACATATTTTAACTGCAGCAAGGATAACAATATGCCAAAAATTGGAAACTAGAAAAAACCCCAACGGAAGAAGAAATAATAGACAAAATCACACAATGTGCCGAAATGGATAGGCTGACAAAAGAGCTAAAGGAAAAAGAAGACACTGAATTTTACAAAGTCTGGAATAAATGGTATCAATGGCATAGGGCTACTATGGAAGAAATTTAACTAGAAGTTAGATAGAATAGAAGTCCAAGTGTACACAAATTACTTCCTTATGGGCGAATAAAATTACAGAGAGAAAAATATAATATACAGATTATTAAAGCAGAAGTCTCAGAAAATAGAAGAGAAAAGAGGGAAAAAAGGCACTAAGAAATTATTAAGTTAAGATTTAAGGGAATAAGTATAACTGTATTACTTGAAAGACCATTACGAAACAAACGCTTCAAATGATTGATTATTTATAACTGTTTATTGTATATGTATTTTTATGTCTTTATCATATGTGTTTTATGTGTTTTATATCTGTTTTAATAAACTTTATAAATTAAAAAAAAAACAGATTTCTGTGTTGCAGAGTACATATTAATCATAAAGATTGATGTGATACCAGATGCTGGAACTTTGATCTCTAGAATTTCCTTGAGGTCAAAGAAAGGAGACTAAAAAGTGAAAACATTGCAGCAAGTTAGGTTTTTACTTGTTTGCTTAGGTAAATTTTTAGCATCAAGAAAAATGGCAGAAATTTACTGGTAGTCCTCTTAGCAATCACAATTGGGACTGGCAACTCAGTTGTTAAGCAGTCACCAAGTGAAATGATCTTATTTCAAATTTTCTTTGCTTTGTTGACCTGTGAGGATCGTTGCAAAGTTACTTTTTCATCACTGTCCTAACTTCAAACATTCACTATACAAGGCAGTCACTATATGTATTTTTCTCTGATTATTAAATAGGGATAGAAGAACTACTCTTTAGATTAGGTTTCCTAAATTCTCTGACAAATAGACACATTTGTTAATCATAGGTATGTAAATTAGCTGAGTGCTGAATCCTTCTCCCAAGAAAGGGTATCCAGACAAATATAGAACTATGGTTTTTTTAAAGGTATAACCTATAATATGTCTTAAAACTGCCTTCATTGCTTTATGGACTAGAAACTTGCCATTTCCTTTTCCTTTTTAATTTTTAATGGTATTACAGTTCTCCAATATTTCTTTCTTCTTTTCGATTAGATAGAATGGAAACAGCTACATAGGTATTATCGTGAGTAAAGACAATGTCATAGTATTTTAGCAAACAGCACCATAGAATCAAAGTATTTATTTATCTTGCTGAATATTGTCTATTCTGAGTAACAGTAGTGATCAAAAATCTTGTGTGACTGTTTTTTTCATCATATGATAGTGGATGAAGGCTGACGACTATCTGAATACAAATAGGCTATTTCATTTAATTGAGAAACCTCCCTAGTTTGTTTCCATTTTAGCTTGGACTATTTTAGCATAAGCTTGGACTAATTGTCTTTTCCAGTATTTTGCCATTCTGTTTTTATGATATCCAGCCTTTTTACTTTAGAGACTCCTAGAGAATTTCTTTCTTTTTAATTTAATGTTTTGTGATAACTTGATAATTTAATGATAAATGCAGGAGGCAGGGATTATCAACTAAAAGCTGCATGTTGACTATCAGTAAAGTGTGAGGTTTTTGAAAAAAGCAGGTGCAAAGAAGGGAAAGCTTAAAGAATGAGTGTGCAACGTTTTGGCTTGCCTGAGCCGCATTGATTGAAGAGGAATTGTCTTGGGCCATGTATACAATACTAACTGAAGTGCTCTGCTACGAAACTATGTGATCGGGCTTGATAAATTGACACTTAGAGTTTGAAAATTAATGAGTAGTTACGATCCGGCCTCTCCTCTCCCCTTCTCTCACTTAGGCTAGCCCCACAGAAGCCTCTCCTCTCCTCTCTTCTCCCCTTCTCTCAGGCTTGCCCCACAGGAGCCTGTCCTCTCTATCCCCTTCTCTCCCTCAAGCTTGCCCCATAGATCCTCTCCTCTCCCCTTCTCTCCCTCAGGCTTTCTAGCCCCTTCTCTCCATGAGGCTTGCCCCATAGAAGCCTGTCCTATGCTATTCCACTCTCTCCAGAGTTATTTTCACGTTGGGAGGGGGAGTAGAACGTCTTAACTAATTAGCATCAGAGTGTGTTATAATAACAGAGGAAATACTAATGCTCTGATGGTCATTTCGAAAAATCCTTTCTTAGTGAACACCTAGAAGCCAAGAGGAACATACGTGGCAAATTTCAAGTTTGTAGGCTTTACGGTTCTGGAGATTTTGTGATTAATGCGTGAGTGGTTTTCGCTTTTATATATATAGATATAATAAATTTATATAAATCACATAATGATAAAAAGTTTACAATCTTGTGGGGCCACTTTACTAGCTGTCTAGGCTAGGGCCTCATGTGGCCTGCAGGTTGTGAATTGGATACACCTGACTTAGAGACTTGACAGGTGCATGCTGCTTGGTTTGGGAAAAAGACTGAAAGGTACTTTGTGTTACTTGTAAAATACATCTTATCAAGGTTAACCAAGAAACTCTTGGAAGATGAAAAACATGAGATTTTATGCCACAGTTGCACTAATTCCAATTACTATTTCTTTGCAACTGGATATTGTACGTAAACCAATTGAGGACTGATGGTACCGATGATAATTGGAAAGGTAGTCTGCTTTTGAAGGGTTTGTGCTCTAAGTTGTAGTGATACTTTTTAGGAGATAACCTCAGTTGAATGTGTTGGTTATTGTGTGACTTGAAAGACAATACTTGACCCACTCAAAGGTAAGACTAGATGATCTTATTGAAGGTAATGATTTTTTTCTCTCTCTACCACCCCTTCTCTCTTGATCTGAGTTCAGAAGGAATAACTCTTGTTCTACCTTTTGTGCTGGTGACAGGGAGCCACAATTCACACCCAGGTACTAACAATAGCTCTAAATCATCAAAGCTTCTAAACTCCCACAGTGAATGATTTTTACAAATAACTGGCATCAGCAGTTGGGCAACCAGGTGGTGAGTCAAATGAAGGGTTGGGGTCCGTGGCCTGCTTATGGCTTTCGTAGACTTCAGTAAAGCCTCAGTCCTCAATTTTATGAGGGGTCTCAATTCAACTCTGATGGCTGCAATCCTCTTTTATAATGGATTCTTGTTGGCAAGAGATTTGACCTGGATTCTGTGAGAAAATTCACAGTGCTGGATCACACATAGTTGTCAAGCAATTAGCCACTAGTTGCATTTTCACTGTACCATCAACTTTTTCTCCTTAAGTTGTAAATTCTGCTGTAGAATAGCCCCATTAGTTTTATCCCAAGAAGTATATGCGAGGCCTAGATTTTAGGAATCAGGAGTTCAGATCTTTCACTTAACCATGAAACCTATTGAATAATTTTGTTTAATAACCACACTCTCATTCAAAACACGCAGGGTTGTTATGTGGCTCTTCTAATACTATGGTATCCTGCCTTGGGCAAGGTAATATGTATCAATAAAATTTTACATTTTATGTTTGACCTGTTGTGTTCCAGAAGGCTCCATTTTATTTCTTGTGCTGTTGAGTATTTATAGGAAAACCCGAGATGTTTTCCTGAGTTTTGCAGTGAGATGCCATCAGTAAAGTCTCAGCCTCAGTGCTCCTTGTCATCTCACTCCAAGGATTCGGCCAATTTTCTGATTTTTTTCACTTCACTGAATCATAAACTGACCAAACAGACTAAATTGGTCCAACTCACTAAGGTTGAGAACACAGACAACCAGGGCTTGTGTAAATGCTGCCACTAGGTCTTTAACTAATGAGCCTTGGTAGTACAGTGGTCTAAAGCACCCTGTTATTAAGACCAGCTGCCTGCAATTACTGCAGGTTCGAATCTCGCCAGGCTGAAGGTTGACTCAGCCTTCCATCCTTTCTAAGGTAGGTAAAATGAGGACCCAGATTGTGGGGGCAATAAGCTGACTTTGTATAAATATACAAAAGGATGAAGGCTATTGCTTAACGCATTGTAAGCTGCCCTGAGTCTCTGGAGAAGGGCGGCATATAAATCAAATTAAAAAAAAAAAAAAAACTAACCCAGTGAAACATGACACAAATGCATCCAAGCACTGGTGGTGAGGAGAGAAGCAATGGCTCCATTGGGGAGGATGAGAGAGGAGCATCTTTTTGTGTCTGGCAACAAGAAGGAAGTTGTTTTACCGGTAGGCTATTCTGCCCTTGCTTTCACTTATAATCTTTAGAAAGAGAAATCCTTTGACACTTAATTTCCCTAAGCATTTTGTTGGTACAGGTTGTAGTTCAGTCTTTGGCATTGTGGCCCATTAAATTTATAAGGAGAGCCTTATGAATTTTCTTTAGTGGTTAAGCATTAGGCTGGAAACTGGGATATTATGAGTTCTAGTCATGAAGCCAACTGGGATATTATGAGTTCTTTAGTCATGAAGCCAATTGGGTGCTCTTGGCCAGTCACTCTCTTGCAGCTCTAGGAAGCAGGCAATGGCAAACCACTTCCAACATCTTGACAACAAAACTGCAGGGAGTTGCCTGCAGTTGCCAAGAGTCAACACTATTGAGGTATGTGCATACACACACACACAGAGAGAGACACACACATACACACACAGTGTAGTAAAACAAGATTGGTGTAAGCTGCTTTAGAACTGGAAGTCTATACACCTCAGACAGTCACTGAAACCTTTTTTTGCAAACATTCTGGTTCTCAAGATCATATTGCTGAAATTCTGTAGCAGTGTCAAGCAAAAACAGCATCCTTTCTCATGAATTTTAAGTGGGGAAAAAAGAAAATTGGGATATTAAGTTTCAGTTGGTTTTTCAGTTAGATTAATTAAACATCCTTTAAAGTGGGAAATCTCCCATCTGTTTTGAGATTGCTTTTAATAATAAAGTAGAACAGAAATTTTATAAAAACTTCCCAAAAGAGAAAAATTGTTCCCTTTCTTTCTTACACTTATTTAGTACACTGACATTAGGCAAGCTGTGATTTAAATATTTCTAACAACAAAATAACACCTAGAAACAATACTGTTAGAATAATATCTTATTGAATAAGTGATTTGGGATTGATTGAGAACCAAGTACAGATCCAAAAATATTCCACATCCTTACCCATGAGATTCAGTTTGAACTGGGAGAATTGAAGTTCAGCACTCCAGCTCTCTAACTAGAAAAGTGTATTCTTTTAAAAATATTACTAACACACACGAACAAAATAAGAAAAAATGCAACAACTCTTAAATTGGAGGAATGCTTTATATTCTTATCCAGTTCTGATCATGAATGTTCTCTAAAGTGAGGGTGACCTCTTGTGGTCTCTTATGGTATAGCAGTTTGACCAACCAAAAAAATGCAGTCCACTAATCGTAAACTATTTTCTCCCAAGTGGAATCTAGTGGTTATTTTCATTAATGCAATTGTAAAGAGTGTGGCCGCGCGGGTGGTGATGGGAGCGACATGGAGTTCCCATGTAACACCTCTCCTGCGCGAGCTGCACTGGC